TGGAGAAAAGCTGGCATATATACCCATTCAACAGAAACTTCAGTTTAAATGTTGGGCCAGAAAAGTCAGGATGAATGAGTAAGATCACAAGATGCACTCACCCTTGGGCATAGCCTTAGTCCATTTCACTTATCTGTACATAGGATCACAGATTTGGAGCTAGAAGGGACCTTACATCTTGGGTCACACTGAGGTATAGCTTCAAGCAACATGGCACAGTAATGAATTCATGGACAACAGTTTATGATAGAGCTTTTAGCAGTGGTGTGAATGAGTACAGAATTCCTGAGACAGAAACCCAATTAAAACTAAGTTTTGTAAATACTGTTGGCAGATAAACCAAAGGATCACTTTAAAATCTTTGTGCAGTATGCAAATTTTGGCTGCATACCGATCCTTTCCAAACACATCCACACAGAAATAACAATCACTGTCAGTAACATATTTGAATGCAAAGGACAGCAGCCTACATGTACATATCAGGACGACTGCCTACACTGGTTTATTTCAACTGGGAAAATGAATGGATGACTGATTTACTAAATCCACACCAGAAGTCAGTCATATAGTCCAACACTCAGCACATCAAGGGAACTGTGGAATTCCAATCTCACTGACTTCACCAGGTAAAATGCAAGCCACTTAAACTCTCTACTTCAGTTTTCCCCATCTATAAAAAAGTAATCACATTTTTCATAGACTCTGGAGAATAATATGAGGATTAGCTCAGTTGGCTAGTGAAACCAAGGCCACAGACTTGATTCCCTATATAGTTAGTAACTTTGAACAGAACAGAAAAATTGTGTTCCTCTGCCTCACAACTTTAAAGAGGCAGAAAAAGTCATCATGGGTCAATAGTTCTCTAGAAAGGATGGTGGTGGCAATTTTACTGTGGCAATTATATGAGAAATTTGTTAAATGTTTCAAGCTTCTAGGAAAAAAGCTCTTAAACAAAAAACACCCCCCCACACACAAAATAAATGAGACAATTTAGATGCAGCAACCTTCTAGTAGACCCTAAGTTCTAAAGGGTATATATTTTATAAATGGTAAGAACTTTCTTACAAAAATGGACAAGACATTTTTGCTTGTTTACTTTTGAAATAATTCTTACATTTCTCCCATAAAAATAGCATCAGTACCTGAAATTACAGAAGCAACAGTAGTCACTATCATCCCTTCAGTTGGGGTTAAAAAAAATCAATAATTTTAGCAGGAGATCCCTCAGTCTAATTTTTGGCAAAGAAGGGACTCTCTTTTCAATATAGTAAAGTCTTATTCATTTAGATCCTCCTGAATTAGAATTGATGAAACTTTAGCCTACGATGAGTTCTATGAATGAAATATGAAATCTATGAAAAGATTTGCTAAGGAAATTAACAGTGGCAAGGCTGTAGGGATGATATTTAACCTATTTAAAAGAACTTTTTTACATCTTAATAGCATCCTTTTGGACACCAACATGCCAAATGCAAATGAATTTTATCTATTCTTCATCAGCATAACCCTACAGAACCTCTACTTGGTAACCCTGTGTTAGGAATGATGTGGAATATTATATGTACACGAACTCAAGATCATAGGATAATAATCTAAAAACACACTACTTTAGACTTCAATAAATCAGACTACCCAATGACCAAAGTTCTATTATATATGAAAGTATGGGTTTTAAAGTTTATTTTTAAGAGACAGGGTTCAGATTTTAGAGATATCTTTCTCCAAATTAAAAGCTATACTAGTGAAGTTATGTTTGCCCAAAAATATTAGCTACCTAACAGTGTTGTAACTTCTGCTCAGCATCTCTCTGCCCTTCTCATCTGAAACTCACTATTTGGAGACTTCCCAACTAGTTCCTAAATAAATTGTGGGGCCACAGCAGAGTAACATAGTCTAGATACATCTGGATTACTTAAGATTCTCCAATATCATGTATTATATTACAGTCTATCATGTCTGCATGCACCCATAATAGCTTCCCTTTAGCCTACAGTACTAATAAATTAGGAGCAGAACCCACTTGTCTCTTCAGTCAGCAACACTGATGGCAACATTACTCTGAATTGGCACAAACAAGCTAGAAGTCAGTATGAGGGAGGTTGGAGAAATGTGGCGACAGTAGGAGCTAATGATGGTTGGTTAGGATTCTAATTCTTAGGCATGATTTAGCTCAATAGCTCAGATAAAGTCTTAGTAAAGATAGGAAAGAGTACTCAGCTAAGGAGCCCTGAATAGTCTCTGCAAAAGTCAGTCAGCTTCCTTTTCATTAGTTTGTCCCTTTTTGAACCTGTTTCCACAATTGTAAACAATGGATAATAGCACCTGAGACAGTTATATACAGGTACAAATGAAAAATCTCTTTCCAAACCTTAAAACACAGTATGTCAATTACTATAATTATCCTTGTCAAAAGATATCTTTCAATGCATTGATTTAAAGAAAAATAATCTAGTTGCCAAACTTGCACCAGTATCTACCTGAAACAATGGCAGAAACCTACTCAAAAGTTCACTGATGACACAAGAACTTGGACTTTAAGAATAAGTCAATGTGGGGCAGCTAGGTGGCAAAGTGGATATAGCACCAGTCCTGGAGTAAGGAGGACCGAGTTCAAATGTGACCTCAGACACTTGATACTTACTAGCTGTGTCTCCTGGACAAGTCACTTAACCCCACTGCCTTGCAAAAAAAAAAAAAAAAGCATAAGTCAATGTAAGCATGGGAGGTATCAGTCCTCACTAAGTCTGCCAACTTGACTTTGGGCCTGAAATCTTCTACTGGGCAGGCCCAATCAGTTCTTACTAGGCCTAATAATCTATGCCATTTCTCCCCTATGATTTGTACTCCTACAGAATAACATATTATTGCCTCTAAGGCCCTTGGGGCCAATACATAAAAATAGAGCAGGATGCCTTGGGGGGTACTGAATTTTCCCCATACTGGAAGGTCTTTAAGCAGAAGCTAAATAGTTACTTGATGCTGTATACTACTAAAGTACAGGTTGGATTAAATTAGGGGTTCTTAACCTTGTTTCTGTCACGGACCTCTGGCAATGGGATCCCTTCTCAGAATGTTTTAAAATAAGTAATATATAGGACTCAAGGAAACCAATTATATTGACAGACTTGTCAAAACGTATTTTTTTAAAACAAATTCATGATTTGGAACTATGCCCAAAGGGTTAATTATAAAACCGTGCATACCCTTTGACCCTGCAATACTACTTCTAGGTCTATATTCCAAAGAGATCATAAAAAAAGGAAAATAACCCATATATACAAAAAAATTTATAGCAGCTCTTTTTCTGACGGCAAAAAATTGGAAATTGAAGGGATGCCCATCTATTGGGGAATGACTGAACAAGTTGTGGTATACAAATGTAATGAATACTATTGTTCTATGAGAAATGATGAGCAGGCAGACTTCAGAAAAACCTGAAAAGACTTGTATGGACTGATGCAAAGTGAAGTGAGCAGAACCAGGAGAACACTGTACATAGCAACACTGTGTGATGATTAGCTATAATACTTAGCTCTTCTCAGCAATATAATAATCCAAGACAATTCCTCATGATGGAAAATGTTATCCACATCCACAGAAAGAACTATGGAGCTATGGAGTTTGAATGCAGATCAAAGCACATTGTTTTCACATTTTTTTTCTTGTGGCTTTTCCCTTTCCTGATTCTTCTTTCACAACATGACTAACATGGAAATGTTTAACATGATTGTACCTGCATAACCTATGTCAGATTGCTTGGTGTCTTGGAGGAAGGGGCAGGGAGGGAGAAAAATTTCAAACTCAAAATTTAAAAAAAAGAATGTTGAAAATTATCTTTATATATAATTAGAAAAAATTAAAATATTAAGAAAAAAAGAAAATATTCCTCCTTTAAAAATAAAAGTCATGAACCCTGGGGTTAAGAATACTTGAATAGGATGGACTGAGATCTAAGTATCCCTACAAGTTTGCGGTTCTATTTCTAAACTGCAACTAAATTCCTTATTATTTTTTACTATTTGTCAGATTACTAATATGGATGCCCTATGGTCCTAAATAAGAACCTATGTTTATGCTTTAGATGTATACTGTAACGTTTCCTTATCAAACACATGCAAAAAAATTGCCATCATATGCTGTAATGAGAACATGGCAATCATTCCAGGTGCCAGCCATCTGTATTTGTACTCAACAGCTCTGTTTTGGGGATAAGCAGTACTAAAGTAAGAATCAATTTAGTTTCTTGAAAGATTAGCTAGGAGATGGCTCAAAAGACAAACCGATTAGTACAGTGAGAGTGTCTAAAAATTAAGCACAATTGTCTGCTAGCTGCAATATGTTTGCCATAGCCTGAGATTATGGGGGCGGCACGTGGATGGATTTTAGGACCCAAGGACAATGAAAACGTATTTACTTAGAACAAATGTCTTTGCTACAATGCAAATGAAAATCAGTCACTGACCTCTAGGAGACTGAAGTTAAGAAGAAAGTAATTTTACCACTTACACTTTGTTCCACTGTTCTATAATGTGCAGGTATACACAGGGGACAACTTGCTCCAGTACAATTGCATATTATAGTACTTTTATTACCGTAAAAATTGTAGCATTTCCCAAAGTAGATCTTGATTAAAAGTAGTTCCATTGGCTGAAAACAGCACTCTGCTATAGATCTATTAAAATCCAGATATGGCAAGGGGGAAATAAAGACACATACCAAGGAGGGGGTCGGGAGGAAGTTAGCAAAAATAGGATGCTACAGATTTGTGGGAGATAAAAATGGAATTGCTTTTAGAAGCAGCTAATTTCAGTGAATGAAGGGACACAGTAACCTGGCTGCCTTGCACATTCTACAAAACAAATGAGAAAATGCATGCTCCACTTGGAGGAACATCCATTTTCTCCTTAAAAGAAGTCATTTATAAAAAGAGCAAATTGGTGATTTGTACTTACAGATTGGACCCTTTTCAGCCCTTGTCAAAAAGTGATAAATTATCGAAGCATAGTATAAAGTGTTTTATTTTCTGTGTGCACTCATCAAAGCCTTCTGAAATGTTTCTTTTCACCTTTCCCCTGCTATTAATTAAAAAATAATTGTTTCAAATTATTCCCTGATCTAAAACAAAATAAAACAAAAAAAAAACCCCACACACCACTGGCTTCTCCCTACCACCACCAACTTGCAAGGAAAGAACTGTTTAAAATTATACCACTGGTTCCTGGAACCAAGAACCTGTTTATATTAGAGTAGAGACAAAGGAAGGGAAGGAAAGAGGAAGGCCAATATGACATGTGCACAATAGTCTTGTGCTCATTCAACCACAGTGCCTAGATGTATTTGTTGTTCCTAAAGCCACCATAAAACCATTCAGAGAATAAAACAGGGTTTTGGGAAGCCCATTAATAAATTGTAAAACCTCACTTGGTGGGACACATATTACCTAAAACCACTATCTTGTGCCAAACAACACGAAAGCAGAAGTCTGAGGCAGGACTACTGGGTAAAACCACGATCAAATTTAGTTCAGACTTCTATTGCAAAGGCTTCCCTAAAATTACTTTCCAAACATGTTAGAAGGTTAACATAGGATTATTTCCAAATCATAATTTAGTATTTCAAACCTAAAGGAGTTTAGAAAATACTAGGCTTTGCTTTAATCAAAAGTATTATTGTAGAAATATACAGGGATGCCCTGTCCCCTACTGTGTTTGTAAAAACAGATTATACTGATGTCATTTTTGCTTGAGGAAAAGAAACGAGGATATCTAAAAAATCTACCTAGAATAGTCTCAGGGAAGAAGGGAGTGGATAGATACCAGGATAACTGCTGACAGACTTACCAAATGAAAATTTTTTTCACTTAATTGGCCCAGAGTTACTATGCATACTACTTTTCATACTCAGTTCTTTTCCTTCACATTCTTTTTATGGAAATGCTACCATTACATTTGATTCAAACTACTTAATTCTGGCCTACCTCCACCCTTCTCTCACTTTCTCCTCCCTCCCCCAATCCCTACTTCCAGGCGATTTGTTTAGCACCTACATTTTAAAATTTACAGACATTTAAAAAAGTTTCAGACCCAAGTTGGACATCTTTTAATAGGGCATTTCTATTAATATATTTGTGTGACTTGTAGCTTGGCAGAGAAGAGAAGCAATAAAACAAGTGGTAACACTTTTTGAAATTGCCTGATTGGAAAGATCATCCCATCCAACTGTTTTACTTTCAGTCAAGGGTATGAGAAATAAAAAAACCTTCTTCAGAGTAGACTTCATTACTTGAAATTTTAAATTGGGAGAAAATTTTTTTTTTCAGCAGCAGGTAACAACCTGTTACCTTTTAGTTTTTTTTTAATTCATTATCACTGACACAGTTATAAGAAAGTTACCAAAACTTAAAAGGTGAAATAACTATATACAACTGAAATCATTAGTTTATGTATGTTTAAAATAGCTCTACTTCCTCCCCTCAAGTCAGTACATAAACTATAACGAAAACAGGAAAATTTACATAACAAAAATAGGAACAAAAATTTTTTTAAATTTTTTAAAAAATATATGAAAATACAAAAATTATTCCTTTCCTGGTATCTTCACATTCTTCTCTTCTGTGTACTTATATATAACACTGAAAAAGAAAATAGAAATTGATTAAAAGGGATGTTCTTGAAAACAATTACAATAGCAAGTTTTATAGAAAATATATTTTGATTTCCTAATTTTAAAAAATGAATTTCAAAAGAACACTCAATTCACAACATAAAATGAATTTTAGGACATATTACTTCATGAATAACTCTAGACTTGAGCCTGAAGTCCAGAGTAGCACATCCTGATTTTGGCTCTGGATCTTTACTCACTGTGACATTTATATAATATTAAGACTCACCTCACAGTGATGCCAAAAGCTATCACACCTCACAGTGATAAAATAAGCTAATTCAGGTTAACATACTGGGGATATAAATTTTACAAAAATACAAAGTATTATGTTCATGCTCCCAAAAAAGCGAAAGTTTTCTGAATCCTTAAGATTATTGCCATTCAGCACCCAACTGATGGGGAAAAATAAATGAATGAATAAAACCTCTATTAAGTCCTTACTATCCGAAATAGGGATACGAATAGAAGACAATCCCTGCTCTCAAAGATCTCACAAGCAAATAGGGAAAGAATAAAAATTTCAACTCTAAGTCAAATGGAAAGGTTTTATGGTTCTTAGGGTACAGCAGCAAAACAGATGTTAAAGCCTCATTTTTATTATTAGATGTGTGACCCTGGGCAAGTCACTTAACTTCTGTTTGCCTCAATTTTCTCAACTGTAAAACAGGGATAGTAGTAGCATCTATTTCCCAAGACTGTTGCAAAGATTAAATGAGATAATATTTTAAAGCACTTAACATTAGTGCTTGGCACATAGTAGGTACAATAAAAAATGCTACTATTAATGTTATTATTTTCATGTCATTTCACTGATAAAATCATATCAGCTTCTGATGCTAGACCATCCAAAAGTGCCAAGGATTTTACTAACAAGAACTTTCTTTTCTGGGTTGCTCTTGAGTTCAAGGTCCTGGATCTCTATTAGGGACCAAGAGTAGATGGTGATTTGACTTGCCTACCACATACTGCTTCTTGTCTCTCCCTCAAGGTGCCCTGTCTGCTGTTTCAACCAGGTGGGCTTGCTTGACCCATGTGTGGCAGCTCACTGGTAACTGATGGTAATGTCTGGCCCCTTCCCCAGATGATGGCTGTGAAGCTAGGTGCTTGGGGGTGCGTCTACTCTCAGGGCTCTTGTGCCTATTGGTGGTAACTGGTCAGAAGTTGCTGCCCAGGGTGATTATGAGAAAAGTGCCCCTTCCCTTATTTCTCCCTTCAATAATAGCTGGCAGGGTGGAGCTGGAAGTAGGTCTAGTGGTTTGAGAAGAACTGCTATTGCCAAGGTTCTTGAGTTCAATGTCCTTGATTACATCCATCAGGGTCTCAAGGAAGATGGTAAATCAAGGTGGTAGTGATGGGGTGACTTGTCTGGCACAAATTGCATCCCATCTCTCTCTCAGAGGGCCTCACTGCTTCAGTCAGGTAGGTTTGTTGTCTCCATGAGTGGCAGATGGTGGGAACGGCTGGACCCTAAGGGTTGGGCTGGAAGGAGGACCAGTGGTATGAGGGGTGCTGCTAAGGCTCCTTTCTGACAGGCAGATGTTGGTGGCAGTTAAGAGGAAAGTGGACCCCCTCTCTACAATGATTTCTCCCCCTCATGGCTGTGGGGGGCATAGCTGATAGGCTATTGAAAGGGCCCTTAGAGATCATCTACAATTCTTAACCTGGGTGGGATCCATGGACAAGGTGTCTGTGAACTTGGATGAGAAAAAAATTAACACCTTTATTTCCACAAACCTTTAGTTTCCTTTATAATTCTGTGTATTTTGTTTTGTGCATTCAAAAATATCATTCTGAGAAGGGGTCCATAGGCTTTTCCAGACTTACAAAGGGGTCCATGACACAGAGATGGTTAAGAGCTCTTAGTCCAAAGCCATTTTATGAGGATACTCTCCACTAAAACCAGGTTAAAAGCTATGAAATCAATAGTGAATGATATATACAATGGTTGTTTCTTAAATATGTCTATCCAACTGCTCAATCTGTCCTCCCCAAAAGACTTGGCTTGTGAGTATCAGCCAAAATTTGGTGGTCATGTAAATCTGGTGGTCATATAGATCTGGTCACAGATTCAAGAAACATCCCTTGTTATTTGAAGCATAGCTTAGCGATGTCAAGTTTATTGTTGACAATGGTCGTTATGAAATTCTGAGGTAAAAATGTCATATAGATTAACCAAGTGAACTTTGGCTCTTCTCCAAGACCTAAGAAAAGGTGTTCCAAAGCATCTGGGTTATGAATTAGTAAGAATTTTAATATGATTGCCATTAAGAAGGTTATAGGAAAGGTCATAAGCAAATTCAGCAGAGAATACACCTATCCTCAAAGGGAGTTGATAGAAGGAGAAAGAAGATCACTCACAAAACAGCTGGTATTAGTAGAGTCCTTAATTTTCAAAAGCACTAATACCCCCTGACTATAACTCAAAGATTAAAACCACTAGTCATTAAATAATCTGCTCTAAATATTTGGATCAAGGAACCACAAAAGTTTAAAAATTCTGAGTTGTTCAAAATAGGTATCTTTGAAGGCATTTCCTGTGCCAGAAGTAAATGTGCAGAAAACTGTATGCCTCTCTCTCCCCTTGAGCAGAGTATGGATCTTTTGCTCTTCTGACAAAGAACTCGCAGTCAGCAGACAAGGCAAGCTGGCCACAAAAGGCTGGTAAGTGGGAAGAGGCAGCCACAGATTCCTTTAAGAGGCAAGGGAATCACACCTCAAAGTTAGAGACAAAGAGAGGCCTCACAGATAGTTGTGGGGCAGGAAAAGGTGACTGGCTAGGGATGGAGAAAAAAACGTCAAGACTCAGATAGTAAATGAAGAAGTCTTCCTAGGGACACTGAAATAATTAAGAGTTGATTATAACACTAGCACTGTTCTTTGGAGGCAGGTCATCAAAAAATGCCATTCAATATTTCAGAAATTCTGTGATTTCATTGATGGGATTTCTCTTGAGGGATGCAAGACTGGAGCTACTCCCAAAGTCCCTTGTTGCGGCCAACAGGTTCACAAGACAGGGTGGCCAATGATGAACCTTTTCCACATTTAGCCAACCTGCTCCACTGCCAGGTCTGTATTCACTACAGTTTGTACGATCTGTCAGAGCTTATACTCAGCATAGCATAGCCTAGAGTGAGCTCTGTGTCAGAATGAGGCATCAAAGAAGAACTTTTGGTATGATAAATGTTCTTCTATAGATGAAGACATGAGAATAAATGAAGAATTCTTTATCTTGTGGGACACGAAATGTTATAAAATAATTTTTAAAAATAAAATGCAAAAATTTGGAATTCTGAATTTGGGATCAAAATGAGAAGACAAGATATACAGAAATAACTGTCTGTGGTACTTTCAAAGTAAGAAAAAGACAAAAGCTCTGACACAAAGAAACATGGTACTAAAGGAATGAAGTATGTACTTCAAAACTCGGCTTGGGTGGAACATCACAGCAAGAAGGCTTGTGAATCAATGGATTAAATAAACAAGTTGTGCGAGACCAAAGAGCATCAAATTAGTATTTGAAAAAAAAATCAGAACTCAAGTTCTTATTGATGTGGCATACATAAAAAAAACTGGATAGAGAATAGGTACTTGACCTGTGATTTCATTGGTATAGGAAACTCCCAGATGAGGAAATTCCCTCTATTAATGCAGGTCAGTACCTTCTCTGCAATCTTTTAATCTTAAAGAGTAGCTTAATCCATGTGTGAGAAGGAAAGTGACTTGGCCAGGACCACACGGTCGGTCTATGTCAGGAACAGGACTCGAACCAGGTCTTTCTGACTCTAAGGCAAACTCTTTATCCAATATGCCACACTGCCTCTTTATATAAGAAATAGCTACCATTAATTTAGATGCCAACTTTATATAAGGTTTTAAACTTCAAACTGTGACCGAGTATTCTTTTAACTAATATAATGCTATGAATGTCATTATTAAGTTATGGTTATATCCCACTGACACATTATGTCTTAATATGTAATCTATGCATTCTTAAAAGCACAACTCAAAAAGTATCTGATGTGTCCCACAGAGAACAGTTTAAGACAAACTAACTGCCAATACTACTCAAGTCAATGATGAATCAAGGACACTCAGCTTCAAAACATAATTTTCTCAAGTCATTTAAAGTTTGAGAGATAAGTCGTCATATAGCAGAAACTGACAGTATAAAGATTTAGGTTTTAACTTTCTGTGTGATCTCTTTGGATTCAGTTTTCATATCTATAAGACAAAGGGGCTCCATATCACAGAAAAGTTCCCAACCTTTTTTTAGCCCTCATATCCCTTGGTTTTCAGCACAACCTTCCCAAGTCCCCTATACAATGTGAAAGAAATGTTTTTTAGAGTTTATTATACATATGCATGTAAAAATAAAAGAGATAATTTAAATAAGATAATATACTTATCAAATATCTCCATATCCCTTGAAAACTTCTGCGTAACCCAGGCTGGAAACCCCTACTCTATAAGGTAAAGTCTAGGCTCAGTTAGCTCTAAATTAAAAGTACCCATGAAAGCACAAACTTAATTAAACATCTCACTGCCATGCCTCACTATAAACAGACACGAAAACAGAAACTGCACTTTGATTTAAAACATACAGAAACATTGATTGCAATTATGAAAAAATCATTTCAGAAGCACAGCTGTAGTTATTAAAAAGAACATTACCATTGTTTCCTCGAATAAATGCATCCCCATACTTATTCTTTAGTTGTCCGTTGACATATTCTTCTGTTTGTTCCAGAGCTATATTCATGTAGCCATCCAGGCAAGCCAGGACACCTACAGACACATTACAATAAATAGACGATATACAAAGTAAATCACACTTGAAAATCATATACATGACAACCCTCTTTTGTTCCACTGGATACTGCAGACTTAATATAGATTCAAACAGTAAGAGATAAAGCAAAATTTTGAAATTCCTTTCTGTATGCCAATATAAATAAAATCTGAAGAGAACACAACATGGAAGTGTGTATGCATTCATAACCACCAGGTAAAACAATGACTCTTCATCTTTTTAAAAGCCTCAGAATATTTTTAATCACTGCACCTTTCCTATTTTGAAAGCTAAAAATGTGAAAAGCTGCTACAATTACACAGCAGTAAATGGCCATTCTCTCATACAGCTCCATTCCAATGGCACTGTCTTTCACATTAAACACTCAATCAAAAAGCCTGACCTGGCTAATTTATTTCAGCCTTTCACAATGTCTACAGCAGCAGATGAACTTATCACCAGTGTTAAGTGGAAGTCTCCTCAGTCTGTTGAAATAATAGAACAGGAGACAGCAGGTGCTACTGAAAGAACATCTCAAAGTGGTGACTCACAGTTAGGAGCAGCTTGAGAATACACAACAACATATTGCACTGTGACACATCCCATTTTGTTTTGTTACAGTTACAATATATTTTCAAATCAAAGCTATTATAGAAAAGTAGAAATGCATTCCAAAGTAGCTTTCCAGGAAACCACTCTAGTATATTCTTTTAATCATACTGAGGTGACATAAATTTTGCACAACTTTTACATGCCAACTTCTTACTTTAAGTTTGTCATTTCAGGATAGAATTTTGTATGCTTCTAATTCAAAGTCTCTAAATTAAAGTGATACTTTCCAAGAAAATCTGCAGAGTAAAACAAGAACTGAAGAATTCAATTCTCTTAAGTAAAGGAAAATGGATCAATAGTCAATAAATTCTTTTAAAGCAAATATGCTCCTCATTCTCTGCCTGTGCCCCAATTATACCTCAAACAACAAGAAAAAGAATCCTTTTCAAAATTGTGACTGAGGAATGAGAAGAGGCTAAAGAATATCAGAATCTTGTTTTTGGAAAGTTTAAAAAAAAAGGCTTCACATAATTAATAACATTAAAATTACATACTGTTAAATAAAATAAGTAGGAAAGACCTGTTTTTAGAGTGTTTAACTTCTTTACAGATATGAATGGACCTTTTTTCTGAGACATAGTTTACATGCTTTTAATGGTTTCCACCTCCAGTTATGCAAATTTCTTTGAAAAGTGTTTTACAGTTAAAATTTTCATCTTCTGATTAAAAGATATTTTCCCCATAGCAACAGCTAGTAAATCTATCTAGATGAAAAAAATCAGTTAAACTAGATGTGGAGAAGGCTGAAATCAGAACCTCTTCCCATCCCTCTTAAAAACAGATACATAAACAGATTGTTATACCAAGAGCATTTTAAATAACCACACAAAAAAAGAATAGTGTTTGCAATAATATTTTCTAATAGTGCAATAATATTTGGCAATAGCATTATGCAAAGACAAAAACTACTTTTAATGATCTATTTCCTGCACATCCAAAGTATGCTCAGCACTGTCAGAACATACAGAACACTCTGTCCCCTCACTAATCAATTAGCTCATATATTCAAGTCCCAGAAAGCCTATTACTTTCTCTGGGCTCATTGAAAGTTTATGGCTAAGAAGAAATGCATGGATATTTCATATTGCCTTTCTACACAGTATAAGTCCATTAATTCTACTATAAAATTCAATTAGTCTTGAACTATGTTATTCATTTTAAGTCACGAAGGCAGTGTCTAAATATGCTAAATAAAAAACTAAGCCAGTTAACCAGAATATTTAGGCCCCCTCAAAGTCAACAAAACCTTAATATGGAATAAAGACGGAATTGCCAGTCTGAATTATCTATAATGTATACATTTCCTATACATCAAAATGTCTTCATTTTGTCTGAGAAGGCAACTACTGTCAATATAAAAGAACTCTCCTACCCCCACCCCAACAGCAGATCTAGCAATTTTGGAAGAATTAATGGCTAAACTGATTCATTTAGTAATGAAAGTGATCCCCCAAATCTGAACATATTTAATTTCAACAAATGAGAATTAACAAAAGTGTTTTTTCTTCATATCAACAGTATGTGCAAGTATTTTTAATCTTTATTACGATGGCAAACTAACTGAAGCCTATAGGGGTTAAGTGACAAAACTTGGCTATAGTTCTGAAGTGTAACAATCAGTACCTGAACTTAGATCTTCTGATTCTGAGTTCAGTGTTCACTCCATTTCTTCAAGGTTTAAAAAAAAGTCTTTGGGGACTAAGGTTCTGAACTACAGAATTCTAATGTTCATCTCTTAAGAACAAAGATTGCTTTAGGGTCACATCATCTTTTGTTTGGTCCACTGATTTCAAAACAGAAATACTGAAGGTCAAACGCTTTGTGACAATCCCAGGACATCATCTTAATACCCAAAGTTCTTAACTCCAGAGTTGTTCCTCACTCTGTCCTGGGTATCACTAAAGGTACTGATATTCAAAGAGCTCAGGAAAAGAAAGCTTGAGTCTAATACAGCCCAAGACAAAAGTATATAAAATGTTGCCATTATGGTACCAAATCTCCCCTGGCTAAAGCAGAACAGGTAGCAATACAATCTGTTAATAACCAACAGCTTTTGTCCACCTATTGGAAGTTCGAAAAAACCTCCAAAAAAGTGAATCTACACTATTTAGTTATAAAGATACATAAAGTGGGTAGGCAAGAAACCATTACCTCGGTAATCAACTCCAGAATTTAACTTGACTACAACTGGTCTTCCTATGATCTGCTTTAGGAAATCACTGGGAGTTTGCTTCCGTAGACTCATTGTAGCAATCCTGTTTAGAGAACAAAAAAGAAAAAGATAAGAGTTAATTATCCACCAAAGAAAGAAAACAAACATGGATAAATTGCTTACAGGAAATAAACTGCCAAAGAACTACATAAAAATAAAATTTCAGAATATAAACTGAAAACTGCAAGAAATTGAAAAGTCCCCAATGTATTCAAAGATTTTGGTTTCTACATTAAAACATTAGTTAAAAATTGGTAGCTATTTATTTTTAAAAAAAAAGGGAGAGGGACAGGAAAACACCACTAGATGCAAAACCATCATATTAAATCATCAAGTAAAATACGGTTCACCATTTTTCTTTAACTCACCTTGTTTTACAATAGAAAGGTTTGAAAAGCAAATCAAATGAAACCTGATTTTGAAATTAATTTCTTTTGTTTTGGTCAAATTCAGCATCCACCTAATTTCTAAATTGCAAGGTGGCATATAATTTAAAAAAAATTTCTCCCCTCAAAAATGCTTTCAACAGTTTTTAAAATTTGAAAAAGAATGAAATGGAGGCATTTTTAAAATTACTCACTGATAAATTCTTTTTTACAAAATAGCAGAGGCCTAACATGCAACATTATCCTTTTAATAATTTGGGCTTTGCTTAGTTTTAGGGCAGTTATCTGGAGATTTGATAAAGTGAGGAACAGGGGATTTTACTACTTGAACAAGCTGTAAATTTTTTTTTCAATCTACAATGACATCTATCTTGTCCCTGTCCTATTTCTCCCCACCTCCCTGGGCAAAGTTAATCCACTCAGTTTTGGCACTCTCCCAGGGACTAAGTTATACTGATGTGGATGAGTGAAAACTCATCAAATTCACTATATTTAGCTGGTCCAAGACCATGCTTCATATCCCATCCAGTAATCTACCTGGAAATGGGGCCTAACCAGGATAGTGCTCAGGGCAAAAGCTATGCCAGTAAACTCTTTCCCTAATCAATATAGTGTTGCCATTGATACTAGATCTTTCTAGTATTGGCCTAACATGTGGTTGTTGATGGCTCCAGTCACAGTCTCTGGCTGTCAAGCCCAGAATTCCCTTCCCTAGTCCCCATTCTCTTAGATGTGTTGTATTCCTTATTAGAACATAAGTTCTTTGAGAGACAGTCTTAACTTTTCCATTTGTATCCTCAGAACTTACCCCATAGTAGGCATTTGATAAATGCTAGGTTTTTTTTCATTAAAATACTTATTGAGAACCTATCATATGTAAGACACTGTGGACTACAAAAATAAATAAAATCCAGTCCTGTTTTTCAAAGGTTTGTAATATATTAAAATTACAGCTTTTATACATGGCAAGAGTAGATTAATAAGAATGGCAATCATCTCAAGAAGCATGGCAATCATCTCAGTAAATTAAATTTATGTAAGAGTTTGTTGTTCAGTTGTTTCAGACATGTCCGCTCTTTGTGACCCCATTTGGGGTTTTCTTGGCAAAATATTGAAGGTTTGCCATTTCCTCCTCCAGCTCAGAGGGAGACCTACAAACCAGCCTGATTTCATAAGAGGGGAAAAAAAGCCATTCTTCAATTTTACATTCTGTTAACAAGACACTGAAAAAACAAAAGGGAGAAGGGGACCCGTAAAGAAAAATGAAATGTCAAATTAAATATTTTGTCCATATTTCACAAACAATTTAACCAATTCCATTTTCTACTAAACTGTCTAGTTCTGGTAACATGAAAGCAGTATCAATTGATAATTCAAAGCATGTTACAAGAATAACTGGAAACAATACCTATTGGGTTCACACTGTATGAAAATTATACTGAAGTTGTACTAAGTACAGAGAAGAAACTAAAAAACAAAAATTGTAACAGTAAATTTAGGACCAGTGAAGGTGGTTTTGTGTGTGTGCATTCACTTTTAAAGAGGGGGGAAAAAAACCCAACCTATTTATGGACAAACTGCTTTATTTAAGCCCAGGATAAATGATGTTTCATAGCAACAAGCTAGACACTTTCTCTAAAAGAGAGTGATAAAGGTTACCACTTCAGAAAGTCTGCCTTTAAATTCTGAGATTATACCAAAAACGAAAAAGTCAAGAAGTAATAAACCTCACTATGCCTCAGTTTCTCTAAATATAAAAGAGATGACACTCTTTGCACACTTTGACGACACTAAAATACATGAATGAATTAGATGTATAATATTATTAAGAACCTTAACAGATGTTTCAAGTTAGCAGCAACGTGAGAAAGCTTGAATTTATCTATCACTCAGTCAACTGCTAACATAGTCGATAAACATTTATTGAGCACCTGCTATGAGCCAAACATTGTGCTAAACTCTGTAAATACAAAGAAAGGCAAAAGACAATCTCTGCTTTCAAGGAGTTCACAGTCTAAAGGGGAAAGGTAACACACAAAACGAAACTAAAAAGAGGGAGGGTACCCAGCCTATGGGTATAATGAAGTCCTGCAGCCAGGTGGGAAATGATGAGGTGTTTGCCCTAGGCTCCCCTCTTTACAGAGAGGACCTAGAAGGAACTTCCTGATGTCCACCTGGGAATCAAGGAGATTTGAGTTTCAAAGCTAATTTGATCTATAGGAAGATGAATTTCTGGAGACAATGACAGACTGATAGAGTTAGAAAAGGTTCCAGCAATAAGTACCATGAATAATAATTCAACAACAGCTGCCTCCCCTTCTTGTGCCCACAATAAGCTAATCTTATACATCCATATACATATATGTAACTGTATAAGCCTATATGTATTTATATTGTCTCCCACTATAGAATGTAAGCTTCATAAAGGCAGAGACCTTTTTCTGTCTTTTGTCCCCAGTGTCTTGAGTGCTGCCTGGAACACAGTAGATGCTCAATAAAAGCCTACTGATTATTTCTCAAGTACTACTTTCTTCTCCACCATGCCTTCCCTTGTAACTCCAGCCAATAATCAGTTTGGAATTTTATTATGTTCAACTTTGCATTTCATTGTATAGTGTCTTGCATTGCTCTCAATTTTTTCTTGTGTGTGAGTCTGGTATCCCTCCAAAAATCTATATAAGCTCCATGAAGGTAGGGACAATAATAAAGTCTCTTTTATCACTTATAAGTATTCAGCATACTAGACATGTAAAAGGCAAATATTAATGAAGTGTATAGTTAAAAAAAATTCTTAGGCTGGTATCCTCAAATACATTGATCTTTCATTTTAAGTAGACCTATATATTTTTACATTGATCTCTATTATCTGTTTAAGTCATTACTATTATTTACTAGTTTGCCAATGATCATTTTATACAGGTAAATTTTTAAATGACACTATAATTTTTTTCCATTGGAAGATTTAAGTTATTTTAAATTATCTTCTAAACTGAATAAAGCTGAAGGCATAGCTCTTTTGATATTAGCTTATGAAGATGACAAAATTCTTGAATGAAGTAGCCACAAGAGGATCAGGAATTTTCTGCACATTTACCTTAAAACTTGTGTAATGCATAAAGCACTGGATCTGGAATAAGATGATTTGGAAAAAAAACAAAAAGAAAATAAGATGATTTGGGTTGAAATCTCAGTTCTGCACTTATATATTCACAAATTTAGAGATGGAAAGGATCTCAGAGCTCACACAGAACAACCCTCTCACACTAGAGTGAATAACCAAAAAAGATTTACTAAGCACTAGTGATGTGCTAAGCTCTGGAGATACAAAGAGAAAGGTAAGACAGTACCTTCTCTCAAGGAGTTCACACATGAGATTTCAGTCCAGGGTAGGATAGGCCTAAAAGTTCTAAGGGTTCAGATATAGGATGGCAGAACCCATGTCCTTAGGACACAATAAGTCAGACAGCAGTTCCTATAGGTCTGGACAGCATTAGCAGCAGGGAAGACAAAGCCCAGTAGATCTAAGGATACAACGGCAGAGCAGATGATAAGACCTGGAGGTCTTACTGGAAGGATTAAAATTGGCAACTCTGCTTATGTATGAGCAGCCTTATCTATTCTATACGACCATTAGAAAAGGGTAGAGTAAGCCTGTGTACCTTTGTGATTCTAATCAAGATATATAACCCCTTGCGCCTCAGTTTCCCTATCTGTAAAATAAAGGGGTCATACTAGATGATTGTACTAGATCTAAATCTTATGATTCTTTTCAACAACTGTGAAAACTTTAGCAAGTTCCTACTATGTCAAAGCACTATAATAGTCATTATGTCCAGAGTTCATTCCTATGAACTTCTCCCTCTAGATAATAGGCATGATGACCATCATCTCCCCTCCCCCCCCAGTGTTTAAAATGAACTGCTTTATTTAATTAAAGTCAGCACATTTCATTTAGGCTGGCATGATATCCAGCACCACATCATTCACCAAACTGCACTGCACTGCACCAGTGCCCTGCAGAGATTTTTAAAAAGAAAATGAAGGGGCAGGCAAGAAAACAGGTTTATTTGTAGGATACCAAAAGCCCATTTCTAAATATTTAGGAAGCACAATTTGAAACAGTCAGTGGGAGGGGTGGTTGAAAAATGCTGAGAAATGACTGAGATGCGAGAGAATTGTAAATTAGGAAAACAGCTAGTATTGAGATACAGTGGCCAAAAAAGAAAAAAAAACCACTTGTTACTTTGAGCAATATCCTTAGGGGAAGACTCAAGCAGGAAGTGACCATTCTCTTTCCTGGGAGGTATTTAATCTGTAAATTTTCACTTGGAACAATTCATATAGTTCTAGGTCAAACACATTTTCAACACCAGCAAGCTGCAGGGAAAATATTAAGTGCAATCCAAAGTATATAGTGGTTGACAGAGATGGTGTTTAAAGGTAGCATCAAGAATTGAGGAAGAGATCTCCAGAGTTCTTTTGATGACTTTAGCTCTGGTCTCTCTTTTCTGATCAAGTGTAAAGTAGCCAAGAGTACTTTCTCTGTTCCCCTTACTACCTTTAAACTTAAACTGTAGGTAGCTGAAAAGTCCTGAAGTATAATAAAATAACAGTAATAACTAATGCTTAGGTAGCACTTTAAAGTTTGCAGATTTCT